GCTGTGCCCAGGCACCCCTAGGTGGCAGTGCACCCTAGGCAGCCACCTAGTTTGCCTAGTGGAAGCACCGGCCCTGTATATGAGGACAATCAATGATGTATCAAACTTGCCACCGATGCAAGAACAAAGCATACATCATTACATTCATGATCTGGTCAACAAATTGTAATTGTACTTACGTACTGTGAACCTAATAACATGATTGCAGATACTTTGACAAAACTGAGATCCAAAATGGGACTAATATAAGCAGTAGCGGTTGAGTGGGGGTGTTGGAATACATGGTTCATGTATTGTTGTACAACAACTACATCAGTATTCAGTAGAGATATATTCTTCAACCAAGTTCAAGTTTGCAGCTGCATCTATGGTTAACCCTGTGTCTTTTCTATATAATAATGCTTCCTGTTAGCAGAGAAGCAGCAGATGAACACATGTAGACTACGCACTGTCTGTTCTGTATGGCTATATACAGAATTTCTAACAGATGTTCCTGCCCCTTTTGTTGTACATCATTTGCAGATGGGAAGTCTCCTGCTCACAGTTCATTGGCTCAGCAATGGCTGCTAACTTCCGCATTCAGATGAACTAGAATTTGTTCCAAACCCAAGTTCATCACTAGAAGTGAGGAAAAACCTCTTTATCAGAGCCCCAAAAAGCAGGAAAAACCTGACAGAAAATGACTGAACAAACACTTTAAAAAAACAACATTAAAATCCTGTCTTATGCTGTGACCTCTAAGAATGACTTGGATGGATTTCCACTTTGTTCTTTGGTCACCAGCTGTCTTGAGCTCTTGTAGACAATGGGGACACAGTTTGCTGTACATAAATGTGCTGCTTTTTCTATTGTCTCAAGGGATGGGACAGTCAAATCAGGTCCTTTAAGTGCTGCCTTGTACATGTTAGGAATATTAACACAGTATGCACTTGATAAACACTGCACAGTGTTAAGAAATAACACGCAAAGAGCTCATTAGAACAGCAGGTGTACACCTTTAGCTCCCCATAAACAAAGAAAGACCTGTAAAGCCTAATCATTTTATCGACTGCTTGGAAAAGATACACCTAGAGTGCATCTCATGGGTGCTAATGAATTTATCTGAATCTGAATTAGAAAACAATTTTAAGAATTCTCTGGCCAGCTGCCAGTAATTTTGTATGGGTTAACACCACCAAGTATCATCAAGCAATAAAGAACCAGTTTCCTTATTATATATCCATAACTATAGGCTTCGTCTATTGAAGTATGAGTACAAAGCTAATCACATACAGATCTGTTTCACAGAATTTCCCCCTGTAACGTCGTTTTATCACCTTTCGATCAGACCATTATTTTTCCACTTAATTCAACATGCCAAGCTGTCCAGGAAAAGTACCATTTCCAAGGTTTGGGGAAACCACATTATGCTGACAGTGTTCTTACGATTGTCAACTTTTATTCATGTGAATTATACTTTTTTCCAAAAGAAAAAAACTGTTGTTGTAACTGCTTAAAGAGTGAAAAGGGCCAATTCACACAGACTTGCGCTAAAATGTATGGAAAATGGATGTACATTTCCATCTATTTTAGTCACACGCTGATGTCCGTTGACATATATTTTGACGTCCGTCAACATACATTTTGACATCCGTTGTCATACGTTTTGACGTCAGTTGACATGCATTTTAACAAGTGTTAAAGCATACTGTATTTTCACAGATTATCCTGTGCATTGTGTTGACATTCACTTACATCCCTTGTGTTGTGCTAAAATGCATACATGATGGATTTATCACAATGAAGTCAACACAGAATTATGGTGTGAATAAGAAGCTGCCATTATAGACTCTGATCTGCAACTGCCAGGGTGCTGCACCAGTTATGATCAGTTATGAAACCAACCATTTGATGGTTTCACAGTTTGGTTGAAAGCACAAGCAAATGTGACAGCTAACATTTTTTTTGAAACATGTTTTTTTTTTAAAACCATTAAATCAAGTTTAATTTCACTTTAAAAGTGTTCACTAGCATTTGCTGCAAGTGTCTTGGAGAAACTTTCAAAATTGCATAGCATGTAACATAACAAGAGACTATTAGTATGGATAGGTTATCAAGAATTCAGGATGAGTCCAGTGGTACCTTCTCTGGCCAACCCAACAATTGATTCAAGTCAGTAATGCAATAATAATAACATTAAGGGCTAGTTCACTAAAAATAAGTGATGTAGCGCTGCTAAATAATAGTGATTTTCTGTTTGACACACTGTTGTTTTAGTCTTATTGGAAATATACAGTACTATGGAGCCACATGTTACTCTGATCGAACCACAGAGTCATTGCTGTGAAGCGTGCATGTTTGTGCAACTTTCATAATCTGTTTCGTATTATTCGTGTAGGAATGCTTTTTGCCAGCTTGAACCTGTTTCACAACAGGAACCTAAGGTGAACCTAGCCTTATAAAGCCATGGCTAATTTTGTCTGGAGTATACCATTAAAGTGGGACTATAACTCAAAAAAAAAATGGCAGACAGGCAGGAATTTTAATGCAGGAGAGACATGCATTGTCTCTTCTGCATTAAAAGAAAAGTAAATTCAAAGCTCTTTTGTCTGTACTTCTCCTGTGGCTCCTAGAAGTGCAGTTTGTTTTCCATTTCTGTGAGCCGCTTTCAGCTGACAGTGGACAGAAGCTGGCTGTCATCACTCAGCCGGTCCAGGCTGGGGAAAGATCCCATATTCATTGTCGGGATCCACCCCAGACTCTGGGCCAGCTGCCCCATCCCTCTCCACAGCCCAGCACTCCAGTGAATACTGGGGGGGCAGAGTAGACAGCGGTGACTGTCAGTCACCACTCTCTGCTCAGAGCGGAGAGGGGAACTCACCTTTAGAGCCGACGTGGGGACACATGCAGCATCGAATCAATGCTCACTGTACAAATTCTGCAATGCTGAATCTGGAGGAACTCCCGCCCAGCCAATTGCAGGGGCCGGCGATTGAGACCCAGAAACCGGCTGCTCGAAGATGACAGCGGTCAGACAGGTAGAAGAGGAAAGCTGCATTGCTGGAACTGAGGTCCTCCAGAGGATTTACCCCCCTTCCTGACCAGGCCATTTTTTGTGATACGGCGCTGCGTTATTTTAACTGACAATTGCGCGGTCATGCAACATTGTACATAAATGAAAATTTCTGTAATTTTTTTCTCACAAAGAGAGCTTTCTTTTGGTGGTATTTGATCACCTCTGAGATTCCCCTGGTACCTTTTTCATAGGCTTTTTTCAGTTTTGGCAAGGACACAGGGCCCCATGATCCCCTATTGCCAGGGGCCCCATGAGTTGTCAGTCTGCCCCTGGTGCGTATGTTCCATTTAAAAAGAAATAATGTTGAGTGGCATTCTCTAGATTGTTTGAATATGGTCACACCAAGCTTTCAAAACCAAAGATTATTATTTGTGTTCTAGACAAGGGTGCAGCTGGAAATGACACACTGGTACTAATCTTCTCACCTGCTGAATTTTCAGCTAATTACTGCATTAAATTAACCTCATTTTCTCCTGGATCCCTCCACATGTGTACAATTACAATGGAAAGTTTCTCATAGAACTCACCAGTGTTCAATGAGGCATCCAGAGCGAGTCCAGCAGTGAAGTTATCTGAAACCAGACAGTAAACAGCATTTTAATAATTCACACATCAGAAACATGGGACAATTTCACCTTTTGTATGGAGGAAAGCAAGTGATACTTCTTTGACATGAAAGGTTTCTAAACAAAACCAATATGGATGGATGAACTCATTATATTAATAGGTTAATATTTTAGTAACTTCTCATAGAAATGTGTTTGTTTTTTTATTACTTTTGGAGAGACAAAGAATAATACAATAAAGGGACATCAAGGCACTGCACATGCAATTCTCAAACACATATACAGTATCTCACAGAAGTGAGTACACCCCTCACATTTTTGTAAATATTTTCTTATATCTTTTCATGTGACAACACTGAAGAAATGACACATTGCTACAATGTAAAGTAGTGAGGGTATCAGCTTGTATAACAGTGTAAATTTGCTGTCCTCTCAAAATAACTCAACACACAGCCATTAATGTCTAAACCGCTGGCAACAAAAGTGAGTACATCCCTAAGTGAAAGTGTCCAAATTGGGCCCAATTAGACATTTTTTTGAATGGGGAGCAGGTGTGTTAAATTTGGTGTTATCGCTCTCACTCATACTGGTCACTGGAAGTTCAACAAAGCACCTCATGGCAAAAAACTCTCTGAGGATCTGAAAAAAAGAATTCTTGCTCTACATAAAGATGGCCTAGGCCAGTGATGGCGAACCTTTTTGAGCCCGAGTGCCCAAACTGCAACCCAAAACCAACTTATTTCTTTCAAAGTGCCAACACTGCAATGAAACCTGAATATCGAGCTTTTGGTTTAGAAAAAACAACTCGTACAGTAGTGCAAACTAATTAACAGTACAGGGATGACCAGAGACTGCGGACACAGTACAGGGATGACCAGAGACTGCGGACACAGTACAGGGATGACCAGAGACTGCAGGACACAGTACAGGGATGACCAGAGACTGCAGACAGTACAGGGATGACCAGAGACTGCGGACAGTACAGGGATGACCAGAGACTGCGGACACAGTACAGGGATGACCAGAGACTGCGGACACAGTACAGGAGATGACCAGAGACTGCGGACACAGTACAGGGATGACCAGAGACTGCGGACACAGTACAGGGATGACCAAAGACTGCGGACACAGTACAGGAGATGACCAGAGACTGCGGACAGTACAGGGATGACCAGAGACTGCGGACAGTACAGGGATGACCAGAGACTGCGGACACAGTACAGGGATGACCAGAGACTGCAGACACAGTACAGGGATGACCAGAGACTGCGGACAGTACAGGGATGACCAGAGACTGTGGACAGTACAGGGATGACCAGAGACTGCGGACACAGTACAGGGATGACCAGAGACTGTGGACAGTACAGGGATGACCAGAGACTGCGGACACAGTACAGGGATGACCAGAGACTGCGGACACAGTACAGGAGATGACCAGAGACTGCGGACAGTACAGGGATGACCAGAGACTGCGGACACAGTACAGGAGATGACCAGAGACTGCGGACACAGTACAGGGATGACCAGAGACTGCGGACACAGTACAGGGATGACCAGAGACTGCGGACAGTACAGGAGATGACCAGAGACTGCGGACACAGTACAGGAGATGACCAGAGACTGCGGACACAGTACAGGAGATGACCAGAGACTGCGGACACAGGTACAGGAGATGACCAGAGACTGCGAACAGTACAGGAGATGACCAGAGACTGCGGACAGTACAGGAGATGACCAGAGACTGCGGACACAGTACAGGGATGACCAGAGACTGCGGACAGTACAGGGATGACCAGAGACTGCGGACACAGTACAGGGATGACCAGAGACTGCAGACACAGTACAGGGATGACCAGAGACTGCAGACACAGTACAGGGATGACCAGAGACTGCAGACACAGTACAGGGATGACCAGAGACTGCAGACACAGTACAGGGATAACCAGAGACTGCGGACAGTACAGGGATGACCAGAGACTGCGGACACAGTACAGGGATGACCAGAGACTGCGGACACAGTACAGGAGATGACCAGAGACTGCGGACAGTACAGGGATGACCAGAGACTGCGGACACAGTACAGGAGATGACCAGAGACTGCGGACACAGTACAGGGATGACCAGAGACTGCGGACACAGTACAGGGATGACCAGAGACTGCGGACAGTACAGGAGATGACCAGAGACTGCGGACAGTACAGGAGATGACCAGAGACTGCGGACACAGTACAGGAGATGACCAGAGACTGCGGACACAGTACAGGAGATGACCAGAGACTGCAAACAGTACAGGAGATGACCAGAGACTGCGGACAGTACAGGAGATGACCAGACCCAGAGACTGTGGACAGTACAGGGATGACCAGAGACTGCGGACAGTACAGGGATGACCAGGGACTGCGGACACAGTACAGGGATGACCAGAGACTGCGGACAGTACAGGGATGACCAGAGACTGCGGACACAGTACAGGAGATGACCAGAGACTGCGGACACAGTACAGGGATGACCAGTGACTGCGGACAGTACAGGGATGACCAGAGACTGCGGACACAGTACAGGAGATGACCAGAGACTGCGGACACAGTACAGGGATGACCAGAGACTGCGGACACAGTACAGGGATGACCAGAGACTGCGGACAGTACAGGGATGACCAGAGACTGCGGACAGTACAGGAGATGACCAGAGACTGCGGACAGTACAGGGATGACCAGAGACTGCGGACATAGTACAGGGATGACCAGTGACTGCGGACAGTACAGGGATGACCAGAGACTGCGGACAGTACAGGGATGACCAGAGACTGCGGACACAGTACAGGGATGACCAGAGACTGCGGACACAGTACAGGGATGACCAGAGACTGCGGACAGTACAGGGATGACCAGAGACTGCGGACACAGTACAGGGATGACCAGAGACTGCGGACACAGTACAGGGATACCAGAGACTGCGGACACAGTACAGGAGATGACCAGAGACTGCGGACACAGTACAGGGATGACCAGAGACTGCGGACACAGTACAGGAGATGACCAGAGACTGCGGACAGCACAGGGATGACCAGAGACTGCGGACACAGTACAGGGATGACCAGAGACTGCGGACAGCACAGGGATGACCAGAGACTGCGGACAGCACAGGGATGACCAGAGACTGCGGACAGTACAGGGATGACCAGAGACTGCGGACAGCACAGGGATGACCAGAGACTGCGGACAGCACAGGGATGACCAGAGACTGCGGACAGCACAGGGATGACCAGAGACTGCGGACAGCACAGGGATGACTGCTGACCTTTGGGGAGGGAGGGGGAGCGGGTACCTGAATTTGACAGGTACCCACTCTTACTTCCGCAGAGTTTTTTTTTATCTTACCTGTTCCTTTATCCAGCCGCGCGCTGTCTTCCCGGCTTCTGTAGTGTGGGGGCGCTCGTCAGACAGCCGGATGCCCAGTGCGCATGCGCGAGAAGCGCTGCGCTTTGTGATTGGTCCGGCGGCTTCTGGGATCTGTCATGTGTCCCAGGTACCGCCTTACCATTCACAAAGAGCACTGCTTCTTGTGCATGCGCACTTGGGACCCGGCTGTCACGCACACTACAGCCGGGAAGACAGCACGCCGCTGGATTCTCCTGGCGTGCCCACAGATAAGGCTCGACGTGCCGGCTGTGGCACGCGTGCCACGGGTTCGCCATCACTGGCCTAGGCTATAAGAAGATTGCCAAGACCCTGAAACTGAGCTGCAGCATGGTGGCCAAGACCATACAGCAGTTTAACAGGACAGGTTCCACTCAGAATAGGCCTCGACCAAAGAAGTTGAGTGCACGTGCTCAGTATCATATCCAGAGGTTGTCTTTGGGAAATAGACGTATGAGTGCTGCCAGCATTGCTGCAGAGGTTGAAGGGGTGGGGGGGTCAGCCTGTCAGTGCTCAGACCATACGCCACACACTGCATCAAGTTGGTCTGCATGGCTGTCATCCCAGAAGGAAGCCTCTTCTAAAGATGATGCACAAGAAAGCCTGCAAAAAGTTTGCTGAAGACAAGCAGACTAAGGAAATGGATTACTGGAACCATGTACTGTGGTCTGATGAGACCAAGGTAAACTGATTTGGTTCACATGGTGTCAAGCGTGTGTGGTGGGCAACCAGGTGAGGAGTACAAAGACAAGTGTGTCTTGCCTACAGTCAAGCATGGTGGTGGGAGCAGGGGCGGACTGACAACTCATGGGGCCTTCGGGCAATAGGGGATCATGGGGCCCCTGTGTCCTTGCCCAAACTCAAAAAAGCCTATGAAAAAGGTACCAGGGGCATCTCATGGGGCCCCCTACTGACCCGTGGGCCCTCGGGCACTGCCCGAGTTTCCAAATGATCGGTCCGCCCCTGGGTGGGAGTGTCATGGTCAGGGGCGGACTGACCATTCAAGCACTCGGGCACTGCCCGAGGGCCTGGGGTCAGTAGGGGGCCCCATGAGATGCCCCTGGTACCTTTTTATAGGTTTTTTTTGAGTGTGGGCAAGGACACAGGGGCCCCATGATCCCCTATTGCCCGGGGGCCCCATGAGTTGTCAGTCCGCCCCTGGTCATGGTCTGGGGCTGCATGAGTGCTGCCGGCACTGAGGAGCTACAGTTCATTGAGGAAACCATGAATGCCAACATGTACTGTGACATACTGAAGCAGAACATGATCCCCTCCCTTCAGAGAATGTGCCGCAGGGCAGTATACCAACATGATAACGACCCCAAACACACCTCCAAGACGACCACTGCCTTGCTAAAGCAGCTGAGGGTAAAGGTGATGGACTGGCCAAGTATGTCTCCAGACCTAAATCCTATTGAGCATCTGTGGGGCATCCTCAAACTTGTCATTTCTTCAGTGTTGTCACATGAAAAGATAGAATAAAATATTTACAAAAATGTGAGGGGTGTACTCACTTCTGTGAGATACTGTACATCTGATTTGTAGTCATATCCATTTTACATGTAAGGTAAAACCATACATATTAATTCATGCAAAAATGTCTCTGCTCACAATCCTCACCCAAACTCACAACCCTCTCCTTAAAGTGTTACTAAACCCAGGACCCTGCATTCACTATATCTGGTCTCCCACAGTACACACAACATGGAAATGCAGATATTTTAGTATATATAAACTGCTAAATTCTATTTCTAATCAGCAGTTAGAGCAGTTTTGTGACTTATATCAGTGTCCAGCAGAGCACAGGTTAAAGCTTGTAGGAGGAGTTTTCATTCTCCCCTGACTGTCCTATGAGGCTGCATAACCCGACTCTCTGTCTGGACAGCGTGATTGACTTTGTGTTGATCACATGCACTCTCCCAAGAAAAAAAACTCTCTAGCCATACACAGCAAACTGAGCATGTGCAACTTGCCCCCAAAGCTCTGTTCTATCAGCAGATGGATTGGGAATAGTAGAAAAAGGGGAGGATCAGAGAAGACAGGATCAAACATCCTTTTTACACAATGTGGAGAATAAACCCCTTAAGTGAGTTTAACAAGCATGCTTTACTGCATATACAGATTGATTTTACTGTTGTGGGTTCAGTAACACATTAATGTTATAGTAAACAACATACTTATTGTCCATAAATTAGCCACTGTTTGGCGACATTCTAATGGGATGATTAGCTCCATGTTCCAAGTAGGGCCATCATTTATCGGCATGGAGATACATAGGTGTTGCTTGCATCCCCATACTGGCATACCATTGTTGTCTACTGGGACATGCGGCTGCATGGACACAGCTCCTGTGTCCCAGTAAGACATGTGGAAAAAACTGCCCCACGTGAATGGGGCGTTTAAAGACTATGTAATCTATTTTTTATAAAATTGTTTCTTACTGTGTTTTTCTGCCTTGTAATATCCACCGTTAGCTCCAGAACCTCTCCTTTTCCACTCACTTCCACTTGTTTGAAACATGCAGTACGCGTTAGTTGTGGTCATGTGACTGCTCTATGCACACTACAAATCTCATAAGTATAGTCCATAGTCCATCTCAGGAGTAAGCAAGAGGATGTGGCTACGATCCTACTTACAGTAAGACCATGGAGAATAAACATAGCCAACTTTCAACACAGGCCTGGCCAAACTGCAACCCCAGGGCCACATCTGGCCTTTTGGCTGGCCCCATCTGGCCCTCAATGTTTCCACTGTCTGCCTGAGCAGGTTTACAGTGAAGAACTGGAAGGAGAGAGCCTGAGGAGCTGATCAGTACAGTGGGTAGGCTCAGCTCTGGTGGGAGAGTGTTGCCTAGGTGATGGTCCCGACATTGTCTAGCCAGGTTCTTCCTGTGTTAGCGCCTGCATGCTGCAAACCCCAGAAACCATGAACCTGTTCTTCAGTCAAGGTCAGGATCTGCAGAAATCCCAGCTGTACCCATCTCAGGCTGTCTGCTTCCAGTCACAGTGTTTTCAGAGGGCAGTTGACAGACAGTGTGAAGGTGTTATATCCCCTCCTCACTGCCTGATTTAACTTCAACACAGGCCTGGCCAAACTGCAACCCCAGGCTGGCCCTATCTGGCCCTCAATGCCTCCACTCTCTGCCTGAGCAGGTTTACAGGCTCAGAGAGGCATGCTGACAGATGTCCTTGTGAAGAACTGGAAAGAGAGAGCCTGAGGAGCTCATCGGTACAGCAGGTAGGCTCAGCTCTGGTGGGAGAGTGTTGCCTAGGTGATGCTCCCAACATTGTCCCGCCATGTTCTTCCTGTGCGCCAAATGCTGCAACCGCGGCATGTGAACAGCGCCATCCAGCTGTTATTTTACAGTTTGGGTAGGTGGCTGGGATACAGTTTTTACAACCCCCCCAACCTTCCATCTGAAAGAGACCTATTTCATGAGCAGTTGTACCTATTATTCCTAGTGCCAGGTGTTTGTTTTTTCTATCTGTTTACATATTTATAGAACTTCACATCTCCAAAATCAATTTTGAGAAGAATTAAGTTTGGCCCTCCACGATATCAATTTCTCTTGTGGCCCCTTGGGAAAATTAATTTTCCACCCCTGCTCTAAAAGGAAGTTAGATAACAGCCTCAAAAAAAGGGAATTTGAAGATTTGAAAGAAGCTGAGAGCAATAGAAAGTACTTTTTTGAGTTGAGAATACATACTTGAATATATTTTTTTAAACCAGAGTTTACTGTCACTTTATATATTCCACTTTTGTAAAAAAATATAGCAAATAAAAAAATTACATAGCTTATACAATTTCTACACGACTCATGTTGTAATTAACCACTTTCTCTCCAGAGGATCCACCCGCCTTCCTGACCAGGCCAAGTTTTGCGATACGGTGCTGCGTTACTTTAACTGACAATTGCGCAGTCATGCAACGCTGTACTTAAATGAAATATATGTTCTTCTTTTCCCACAAATAGAGCATTCTTTCAGTGATATTTGATCACCTCTGCGGTTTTTATTTTTTGCACTATAAACAAAAAAAGACCGACAATTTTGGAAAAAAAACAGCATTTTTGACTTTTTGCTATAAAGCATATCCAATAAAAAAATTCAAAAAATCGAATTTCTTCATAAATTTAGACCAAAATGTATTCTGGTACATGTCTTTGCTGAAAAAAAATCCTGATACATGTAAATTAATTGGTTTATGTGAGTTATAGCGTCTTCAAATGGTGGTAAATATACTGGAATTTTAATTTTTTTTTTATACTATCAGTGCTAATAAAAAGCAATGACACTGTACTAATGACACTGTACTAATGACACTGGGCAGGAAGGAGTTAACTTCTGGGGTTATCAAAGGGTTAACTGTGCACTGTGTTGTGTTTTACTAAGGAGGCATGCTGCTATGTATTTCTCTGCTGTGAGCATGTCCATGCTGACAGGAGAGAGACCTGTGTTGTTTACACACAGGTCTCTCCCCTGTCAGCTTTTCCCGACGATCACTGAGTGACAGCTGGGAATCTCTGGCCAGGACCCGGTGATTGACGTCTCTACCCTCCAACAGCGGTGCAGGTAGGGCAGCGCTCATGCACACCCTACCTAGAAATGCAAATCATGTATATATATGCTCAGTAGCA